ACCTTTGACCTTATGGTTAAAAATAAATTGGTGTGAATAAGATGGTGATAATTGTGACCTTGAGACTCTTGTGTTGACTAAATAGTCATTGAGTGGTTTCTTGGAACCATTTGTGTTGCTCAAATCTTAGCTAAGGTTGTTGTGGCCCTCGACTCTGTCTCTTTAGAAATCCTATAGTGTATGTGGTGAGGTTTTAATTTGCAAGTCCAAGTCCCGTGCCAATAAATCTAAAACTTGTCCTGAATATTTGTCTAGATGAAATCCTAAGTGTATCTCGACTTGAGAAGTGATTATAAGCTCTTTTTGATCCAAATTGAGACTTGAAAACATCCATAGCCCACCAAGAATGATATCCCTAGTCAACCTCGTTGAGACATGGCCCTTATTCTCTCAATAACCATGATACAAGCCTTTATCCGTTCTAAAATGATCCTCTCTTGGCACCCGATCTTTCCTTAGCACAAGGCAAAAGCATAAGTTTGGGGGGAGAGATGAGGAATGTAAAAGTGATAAAAGGTACAATATGAAGAAAAGGGAAGGCAAAAAGAAAAAGAAAGAAAAGCCAAAAAGTCAGAAAGAAAGTGAACAATATAGAAGAAATGAAGGGATTCAAAAAAAAAAAGCAAAGATGAAAGGTTTGGAAAGATTAGAAAGGATAAAAGGATTGAAATAAACAAGAAAGAGTGACAGTGTGTCTCTTTAACCCCTAAGGAAGAAGTAAATGATTCAAAGAGTCAAGAAAATGTGAGCCAAAATGAAGAAAATGAAGTATTTAAGGAAATATGAAACCTTCATAGACTAATATATCCCACCTTGAACCAAAAACCTTCATTACATTCCCGCAAAAACCCTATATGATCTGAGTTGAGTGAGCTTACCTTAGTGGTGACTCACATGAGGGGCAAGATTATATTACTTAGAGCCAGACTTGTGACCTTCCTTTGAGAGAGATGAGTGTGTTTTCCACAATCCTCATTCTAAGTGCTACAATCTAAAAGTGAGGTTTGCATATGGAGAGTCGAGGAGTATGAGTTTGGATTCTACAATGACCAAAGTAGTAGAAAGAGTTTCCTTGATGAGTTGATTCAACTCTTGATGCTTTTGTGTTGCACTAAAGCCATGGTGCTAAAAAGGTTGTGAGTTGTTAATAATGCATTCGAGTTGAGGGTAATTATTAGTCCCAATTGATTCTTGATGAGGTTACTTTAGGACAACTGAAATTTTCCTTTCTTTTATCTTGAGGATGTGGGAATTACTTTGTTTGCTTGAGGACAAGAAAAAGCTTAAGTTTGGGGGAGTTGATAACTAGGGATTCTAGCATATTCTATGCTCATTTTGCTTAGGTTTTGGATTAAAAATACGTACAAGTATTCTCAAAAGCTAACTTAGTGTGCTTGTTTGTAGTGTTTGGTCAAAAAGAGACAAGGAAGTCATAACCAGCTCAAAAAGGAGTGAAATATACACAAGTTCAAAGTTGATATCAAAGGATGCTGACAGCGAGAAATAACAGCAGACGTGAGGGTTCTACCACTGAGGCGGTCCTGATGCCGCTCTCAGCAGTTTGAGGATTCAGAGAGTGTTTCTGAAGCTTAACAGTCACCGCTCCCCGCGATCATATTTTGCGACCGCGATTGAAGGAGCGCTAAGGCGGGTGTTTTTTTTCCTCCCAGCGGACTCAACTTCAGAAACAGCTAAAAAGAGAAGAACCGCGGTTCGCGCTTGATTTTGCGCGGCCGCGGTAGTCATAGAGCTGAGGTAATCTATTTTCCGCTGTCTGCGGAATCTCTATAGGGGCAATTTTGTCTGAAAAATTTAGCTATATATAAATAGTTCTTTTTTAGATTTTTAGGGTATCAGTTGTTTTGTATAGCACGTGAACCGCCGTTTTTAGCTTTTTAGAGTAATTTTAGAACATCTTTGGCCATTAATCTTAGATTTTACTCTTGTAATCACTTTTATGACTTATATTTCACCTCCATCTTTGATTTCTTCATTGATTATGAGTAGCTAAACCCATTATCTAGGGTTGTGACCCAACCCTAGTGTGAGTATTTAATGGGTCTTCAATTTTAGGGCTTAAATATTTATGGGTTAATGATATTTAGCTTGATTTATACTTTAATTATTAAATTGGTGATTGTAAAAATTGATTTGTGCCTTTTTGACTTAGGCTCTTCTTGAAAAAGAAAGACTAAGTCTAGAAAATTTAGGCTAACAAGGAATTGGGGTGCATTTAAGAGATTGATAGGCCCAATTAAAGGGTTAAACCTAGAGATAGTAATAACCGACTTGAGCCAATTTTTCTTGCATTGTGTAAACACCCAATTGGGCTTGAAAAAACCAATTAGGGCAAAGTCACTCAAACTACCGAAAGGTATAGAGTGAGTAGCTATGTGCAATGGTTATATCATGATCCCAATTACAACAAGTTTTCCCTAAGTTTTACACCCCATTAGATACTCACCTAGGTGTAAGTCACTTCTCTAGTGCCTTTTTACCAATTGAGAAAACCTTACAAAAATATCATACTTAGCTTATTTTCATTCTTCATTAGTGTTAAAAGTAGAATAGTAACTCAAAACAAAGCATGATTGGAAGTGCAATTAAGGACATCGCACATAGCTAGATTAGATAGAAACCCAATTCCAAATTAATATTAGCTCTTTGTGGATTCGATCCCGACCTTTCAGGTAAAAGCTGTATCGGCCTCTCTTGCCATTCTATAGTGGTATAGGGTTGGAGTCGATCAGATGGTTGATGATGTTAGGCACTTCATGATATTTTTTAATTGAGTAATATGGAAGGTTGGGTGGATAAGGACATCAGCAGGCATGAGCAATTTGTAAGCTACTGAACTAACCTTTGCTGCAATAGGATAAGGCCCATAATACTTAGCAGCCAATTTGCTGAAATGTCATGTAGCCACTAAAATTTTCATGTAAGGTTGTAGCTTCAGATAAACCCAATCATCAACTTTAAACGACCTATCAAACCTGTGTTGGTTGGCAGTATCCTTCATCCTTTGTTGAGCTTTAGACAAGTGGAACTTTAACAACTGTACTATGGATTCTCTTACTTCAAGGGATCTATCAACCATCTCAACATCTGTATCTCCACTGAAAGAAGGAAGATGTATGGGAGGGATTTGACCACACAATGTTTCATAAGGATTGCATTTGATAGTGGTGTGATAGGTAGTATTATACCACTACTCTGCTATGGGCAGATATTTTGACCAATCCTTAGGACTATCTGAGCAAAAGTATCTCAAATAGGTTTCTAAAGTTTTGTTTAACACTTCTGATTAACAATCTGTCTATGGATGGTATGTTATAGACCTCTGCAGTTGTACTCCTTGAAGTGAGAAGAGTTCCTGCCAGAAGGAACTTAAGAAAACTTGATCCTTGTCACTAGTCATAATAAGTGGCATGCCACATAGCTTGAAGATCTGGTCTAAAAAATATTGAGCCACAGTTTGATCAGTATAAGGGTGATGCGGACTTAAGAAATGCCCAAACTTAGTTATCCTATTCACTACTACTAGAATCACCTCCTTACCATGTGATTTTGGAAGGCCTTTAATAAAATCTAGTCAGATGTTAGTCCAAAAACCTATAGGAATTAGTAAGGGTTGTAATAGGCTTGGTGAAGCTGCAACATCATATTTATGTCTTTGATAGACATCACACTTATTTATAAAAATTCTGACATCAGTTATAAGAGATTTCCAATGAAACAACGATTGTAGCCTCTTAATAGTAGCATCCATCCCAGAATGACCTTCCTGAGTAGTACTATGCAAAAGTGTGACTATAACCTTCCTCAGGAGCTGATCATTGCCCACAACTAACATGCCCTTTCATCTAAGTTGGTTGTTACATCAAGTATAGGATTTGTAAGGTTGTGTTTGTAGCTTAGTTATCAGTTCCTGCAGAGCTGGATCATCCATCCATGAAGTTCTAATCTGTAAATATAGTGAGTCATTAGGAGTGAACAGGGAGATATCTAAAAGTTCAGCAGTAGGTTTTCTTGATAGTGCATCGACAGCCTTATTCTCAGAACCCTTCTTATATTCAATAGAAAAATCAAATGCCATCAACTTAGAAATGCCAGCAACAACTTGGAAATTAGTATGCACTTATTAATTCCAATAAGTGCTTTAATGCTTTTTGATATGTCTTCACAATGAAGTGATTACCCAATAAGTAGGACCATTTAGTAACAGCAAAAATAAGAGCAAGTAACTCTCTGTCATAAGGTGACAGAACTTGATGTACGGGAGCTAAGGATTTGCTTATATAAGCAATATGAAGTCCTTGTTGCATCAACACAACCCCAATTACCTTACCACTAGCATCTGTATCTACTATAAATGGCTTAGAGTAGTCTGGCATGGCTAACACATGTACAGAAACCAAAGCCTGCTTCAAGTTATTGAAAGCAGTAGTAGCTTCATCAGTCCATACAAAGCCATTTTTCTTTAGTAGATCATGAAGTGGTCTGCATATGGTTCCAAAGCCTTGAATAAACCTTCTATAATAGCCTGCAAGACCTAGGAATCCCCTCAACTGATTAATATTCATAAGTGTATGTCATTATTGTACAATGGTAATCTTCCTCAGGTTTGTAGATACACCCTCAACATGGATAAAATGCCCAAGGTATTCAACCGTAGCTACTCCAAATGCACACTTTGACATCTTGACATACAATTGATGATGCTTCATCAATTCAAACACAACCTTTACATGATCTACGTGAGCTGTCACACTCTTGCTATAAATCAGAATATCATCAAAGAATACCAGCACTGATTTCCTTGAATGGTCTGAAGACAACATTTATTAAACTCTGAAATGATGAAGGTGCATTGGTTATCCCAAAGGGAATTACCAAAAATTCATAATGTCCTTCATGAGTTTTGAAAATAGTCTTGTGAGTATCTCCTTCAGCCATTCGTAGCTAGTGATATCCAGCTCCAAGATCTATTTTGGAAAATATCTCAGCACCCATTGGTTCATCAAGTAAGTTTTCAATAATGGGAATAGGAAATTTATCCTTGATAGTCATTTGATTCAGACCTCTATAGTCTACACAAAGTCTCCAACTACCATCTCTCTTTCCCAATAACACTACAAGAGATGCATAGGGACTGGTGCTAGGTTATATTACTCCATGGTCTAACATTTCCTGCACTAGCTTTTCAATTATATTCTTCTTAATTCCAGGGTACCTTAAGGGACTCTTATTAACGGGATTGGAGGCTTCTTTTAGAGGAATCTTGTGATCATAAGAACCCCTTTGAGGAGGTAAAGTAGTGAGCAACTCGAAGATACATGAATACTGCTTTATAAGTGTTGGTAAGTCTGGCAAGGTATCAGCACTTGTCATAGCTTGTATATTGTGGCACTGAATATTTTCATCCTCGCTGATTACTAAAGAAATCATGAAGAATTGAGCCTCTGCTCCTTCCTTCCTTATCAAACTCTTAGCGTTAACAGACTTGAGTTGATCATTTGCACCCTTGAGTACATGCCTCTTCCCTAGGTATATAAATCCAATGGTTCTCTTTATGAAATCAAACAATATCCTCAGTGTAAACCCGCAAAACAAAGCCCTCAGCCCCCAAATTCATATCGTGGAAGCAAGCCTCAGTTTTGTGGACCTTCAATCATTGATATTTCGGCCTGCAGGCCTGCAATCGCCGGTTCTCTACCTTCAATCTCTTTGGGATTACCAAATCTCAGGTATTCCTCTATCTCCATATCTTTAACTCGATATTTCTTAGGGTATTACTTATTGAAGTTATTTAGGAGTCCATCTATATGTAAACTAAAGTATTTCAAATGAAAAGTTCCAAATAGTGGAACATGAATTCTCAAATTTATTTTTATAGGTGAACAAAAATTTTCTATATGGGAGATTAAAGTGGAATTTGCCCCCTTTTCATTTAAGGTTCTTCTTCTTTGATTTTTTTTCTTAATTACATGTTTGACCCTTTTCCTTATAGTTTATTGTTGTTGTTTCTAGTTAGTTGTTAGCGCATTATCTTTTGGAGATAGCGACTTCACTGAAGGAAGGAATGAAAAAAGATAAATTAAATTAGTTTTACAGTGCACTAAATCAAAATGATCTCACTTGGATTTGCAATAGTTAATTGAAAATGCAGCATTGGAACTCCAGAACCAGAACATTTGCAATTCAAATTTTTTTCAAGGATGAATTATACGTATGTTTTACAGCGACTTAACCCTGCATGTTGAAGTACATATTGAAGTGTAATATTTTGGTTACTGACTGTCCTTGGGGAATGTGAGATATTCTTTTCCATAGTTCTTCATATTCCATTCACCAAATAAAGTAACTTGAGTAGGATGGTGTATATATAGCTTAATGCCTTATGTCCCGACTATTTCCACCAAACAAAGTGAAAGAAGTAAAATTATACACACAATTGTTATGGAAATTATGTACACCAACGGAGGACTAACTTGATTTAATATAGGAAAATCACGTAATAATAACCTTAATTCATCGTCATATCCTCTTATATTCTTTATTCATGATACTTTATATGCCTCTTGGGAAAACAATCCCAGAAGTTATAGGTAATTGAATTTTAGTGTGATATCTCTTGTACATTGTGTCATCTGTAATTCTAGTGTTTAGTTGTCTACTACTGCTTTTAAGTTTATTTCTCTCTTGCAAAGATCAAGTAGCTTTCCATTCGGTGATAATTTTGTAAGTATCTGATGTTCCTTCTTATTCTTTAATGATTATCATAATTAAGAGACTTGAAGAATTATTTACATATTTTTCATTCTTGTATATTTTTTTCAATGTTAGTCTTCATCTCCATTGCCCTCTTTCATGATGATGGGCTTGACAATTTTGTCAAGGTATCAGCACTATCCAGTGTTTGTAAGAGATTAAAATGCAAAAAACTAAATCCAGGTAAACATTTAAATAGCCTACCATCTACTCAGTATCATTCTCTAAGAACTTCAGTATTATTTTATTGATTTCTCATATAACTAAATGACCTTTTTATATTCTGTTTTTCTCGTAAGAATTAAATGTATCATAAGATTGTTAAATGATTTCTTTATACTAACATTCCTTTAATTCATTGCTATTTTAATTATTAGTTGTGAATGTGAATAAGCAAACGAGAATTAGAAGTGTAAAATTTCGTTAAATAAATGTCATTTAACGGAAATATTTAGTCGCCATTACAATTGCTACTAAAAGTGACTCCTTTGTTGGCAATTGATGGGATTTTACTGGAAATGACAAGCACAACTAAATATACGAGGTAGCACATTTCACAAATAGTTTTACTGGCTATTGTAATGGTCGGTAAATAAATGCCACTAAAAATAATTACCTTTAGCGCCAATAAATGGTGCTTTTACCGGTACTCAATGGAATTGCCACTAAAACATTTAGCAATGCTGGATTCAACGGCTAGTAATCAATTGTTGGTAAAGGTTTTTGCGGCAATTTCTATTGCCGCTAAAGTAAAAAATTTATTGCCGCTAAAGGCCATTTTTGTTGTAGAGTAAGAAATCATATGAGAATATTGTACCTTGTAATAGCCATTACAAGTCCTTACAAACTGAAGCAGTCTGTACTCTTCTGCCATCAGCCACACTCCCAGGCTATTTTAGAATAGAACAAGCTTTGCAGTCTAGCCTTGCAGTTACTTTCTCATCAATAAAATTGTGAGTACTTCCAGTATCTGTTAACATTTGCAATGGCCTCTTTTCATGGTAGCCTATAACTCTAATAGTTTGATAGCCTGGTATACATGTAAATGCTTGCAATGAGATAGCCATGAACTCATCTGATTCTGCCAACAGTTCTTGTACCAAACTTGCATGTTCTTCTACTTATATTCCTTCATCTTCTTTCACCTCTACCAAGTACAACTGTTGTTACCTATGTAGTTGTGACTTGGTACATACTTGTCATCACAGAAAAAGCACAAACCCTTTGCTCTCTTCTCATCCATTTCAGCTACACTCAATCTCCTGGCAGGAATCCTAGTGTTCTTATTAAGAGTAGGTTCAAAAGGCTTCTTGTTTTGTGGAGTTTGGCAATGGATTCTTTTGGTTATATTGAGTTTTATTATGATTAGGAGTACGTAGTAAGTCAATGTGGGTTCTTATATTAGGCTTAAGCCCCTAAGATTGAGCTTAAGCCCTAAATACTTCTTCCTGCAACCTAGCAATTCAGTAGGCTTGCAGAAGTGTTCTAGGTGACTGAATTCTCACATGCTTGTTCAATTCTGGCTTAAGGCCACATAAAAAAAAACTAATTTCATTTTCATTAGACATATTAACCCCCAGTCAATAATTTTTCAAATTCAGCTTGATAGTCCTTAACACTGCCAGTCTGCTGCAAATTCTTTAAAGCTTCCATATGATCCTCAAAACCTTCACCAAACCTTTCATTCAAGGCTAACACATACTAAGTCCACGTAGGCTTTAAAACTGAAGCCCTAGATTTCACATACAACTTATGCCAAGCAATAGCTTCTCCATCAAAATGAATAGAAGCCACTTTAACCCTTTGATCAGAAACTACTTCATCCATAGAAAAGAATTGGTCGATTTTGTACAACCAAGTCTTCAAATCAACAACAACAATGACCCAATATAGTCCCACAAATGGGGTCTGGGGAGGGGAGTGTGTATGCAGACCTTACCTCTATCTGATGGGGTAGAGAGGCTATTTTCAATAGACCCTCGGCTCAAGAAGACGAATAGACAAAAAGAGAAAATATATCAGTACCATTATGGAAATAATAACACAACATAAGAACCAGTGAATAGATGAAAGGCAGAAATAATGACCAGGTTATAATGCCCTGCACTATAAAAATGGAATAATAGTGTAAACACAACACTGGCCACTAGCAGTCTAAGACTAAATCCTATCAGCCTAGCCTCACACTGGAAGACTAAATATGCTCAACTACTTCCTAACTCACAACCTTAATGCTCGACCTCCACAACTTCCTATCGAGTGCCATGTCCTCGGAGATCTGAAGTCTCGCCATATCTCGCCTAATCACCTCTCCCCAATACTTCTTAGGCCGACCTCTACCTCTCATCGTAACCACCAACGTCAACCGCTCGCACCTCCTTACCGGGATATCCAAGCTCCTCTGAACATGCCTGAACCATTTGAGTCTCGCTTCCTGCATCTTGTCATCAATAGGAGCCACGCCCACCTTTTCCCGAATATCTTCATTCCTAATCTTATCCATCCTAGTGTGCCCACACATCCACCTCATTATCCTCATTTATGCTACTTTCATCTTCTAGGTATGTGAGTTCTTAGCTGGCCAACACTCATCCCCATACAACATAGCCGACCTAACCACCGCTCTATAAAACTTACCTTTGAGTAGCAGAGACACTTTCTTGTCACACAAGACTCTAGATGCTAACTTCTATTTTGTCCACCACACCTCTATATGGTGTGTGACATCCTCGTCGATCTCCCCACCCCCATATATAACTGACCCAGGGTACTTGAAACTGCCTCTCTTGGAGACCTGCGATCCAAGCCTCACGTACATGCCCTCTTTCCTCGGCTCGGCACTAAACTTACACTCAAGATATTCTATCTTCGTCCTGCTCAACTTGAAATCCTTTGACTCAAGGGCATGTCTCCAAACTTTCAGCCTCTCATTAACGCCACTCCGCGTTTCTTCAATCAGAACAATGTCATCAGCGAATAACATACACCATGGCACCTCTCCTTAACCATGGTATGTTAGTGCATCCATCACCAGAGCAAATAGGAATGGACTGAGCGCAGATCCTTAGTGTAACCCCATAACAACCGAAAAATGCTCGGAGTAGCCTCTCACTGTCCTTAATCACCATAATGTAGGCAACCGACACACCTTTAGCCTCTAGACATCTCCAAAGAACCTCTCTGGGAACCTTGTCATACGCTTTCTCCATATCAATAAACACCATGTGCAGATCCCTCTTCTTATCCCTGTACTGTTCCACCAACCTCCTAATAAGGTGGATAGCTTTCGCAATAAAACGAACCGGCATGAACCCGAACTGATTGTCTGATACAGATACTGTCCTCCTCACTCTCGCTTCTACTACCCTCTCCCACACTTTTATGGTATGACTCAATAGTTTGATACCTCTATAATTGTTGCAACTCTGGATGTCACCTTTGTTCTTGTACAACGGAACCACTGTACTCCACATCTACTCGTCCAACATCCTCTTTGTCCTGAAAATAACATTAAACAACCCTGTCAACAACTCCAGACCTACTCTACCCACACACTTCCAAAATTCTACCAGAATTTCGTCAGGCCCGGTAGCTCTACCCTTGCTCATCTTTCGCATAGCTCCCACGACCTCTCCAACCTTGATGCGCCTACAGTACCCAAAATTGCGGTGGCTCTTGGAATGCCCCAACTCGCCTAGCACAATATCATGATCCCCTTCTTCATTCATAAGTTTATGAAAGTAAGTCTGCCATCTCCACTTAATATGGGCCTCTCCCATTAATACTATACCATCCTCGTCTTTGATGCACCTCACTTGATCCAGATCCCGCGCCTTCCTCTCGCTCTCCTTAGCCAGCTGGAATAGTTTCTTCTCCCCGCCTTTGGCCCCTAGATCCTCGTACAGACAACTAAAAACCGCAGTCTTAGCCTCCGTGACCGCCAGTTTCGCCTCTTTCCTAGCTACTTTATACCTCTCCTTGTTCGCGTTCCTCTCAAACTCGTATGTGCTCCCTACTAACTTCAGGTACACCGCCTTCTTCGCTTCCACTTTACCTTGGACCACTTCATTCCACCACCAGTCGCCTTTAAGCCCGCCAGCGAATCCCTTCGAGTATCGAGTGAAAAAGTTACCATTAGAAGTCGTACCTTGATGAACTTCTCTGATTCTTCCTTCTTACTGAATCTCCATTGAACCAGCTCGACCAATAGCATATTCTGCCCTAGCTGGCTCTTTCTCCTTCCCTTTTTGATTCATAGCTTCCATAGTTTCCTTCAATTCAAGTAGTTCCTTATCAATTTGTACATTATGCTCATTTAGAATCACCATTCCATCCATCAACTTTTGCAATTGATCTTGAGTAGTTGCTAATTTGTCTTCCATTTTTTCAACAGGTTTCTTTGTGTTTTTGCTGTGAGTCATGATCGAAAATACCAAGGGCAGAAAGCTCTGATACCAATTGATGCAATGTAGCAGAATCTAACGAGAATAGTCAATATAGGAGCTAAAGCTCGAAGAAGGTGACAACTATATCAGGATTTATCGAGAAAATAACTCAATGAGAAGAGGAATTTAGAAAGAATAGAAATGTATTATCTTCAAAAGTGATTCATCAACTACATGTATATCAACTATATATGATCAGTTGAAGATTCTAGAAGATTGTTATTAGCTAACAACTTATAACTAACTCTAACCGACTGTAACTAACATAACTAACTGTTGCCACGTCAGCCGCCAACCAAGCTTCACTGTTACTGCATTTCAGTTTTTAACTCGATTTCTTCTCTTTAGTTGCTTAATTTCTTCTCCTTGGTTGCTTGCCTCCTTTACTTGTATAAAGAAGGTCCGGGGGAAGATAGCTCTCAGGGGTCGTTTGGTTCATGGGATAAGGATAATAATCCCGGGATAAAGTTTGCGATTAGCTTTGTCCTATATTTGGTTTGGGGTATTCTCTAATCGGGTGATAACTTTTACACTAAAATGGTGTGATTAGTTAACCCATATAAAAGGAGTGATAACTAATCTATGAGATATCCCACCATTATACCAAATAACCCCTTAATTTGTTCAGCCCATTTTGTAGTTGGGCATAAGTCGCTTTCTCAACTGCGCCTATTATGTTGACTATTGCGAATTAGAGAGTGTTTGGCTAAGCTTATAAGCTGGTCAAACTGGCTTATAAACACTTTTTGGCTTATCTACGCGTTTGGTAAAATTAAAAGTGTTTATAATTTAAGTGCTTATTAGCCAAAAATAAGCCAAAAGCCATAAGTTGGTCTCCCCCAACTTATCAAATTTCAGCTTATAAGCACTTTAGGTTTTACCAAAATATTTACTATTCTATCCCTAAAATACTTCTTTTTAAACAAAACTCTTCGGATACCCAGTTCTTCAGCTGCTTATTATTAATTTCAGCATTTTTATCCAAACACGTAACTGTTTATTTTTTAAATCAGCTTCAGCACTTAAAAATATTTTTCACCGCACCTAATGCTTATCAGCTACTCTAAATCAACTAAGCCAAACAGGCTGTTATAACCTCGTTATGCGACTTATATAGAGCAACTTACGTTCAGTTGATGCCACTTATAAATCGTCAATAAAACCGCATTGAATGCGCCTTTCTATAAATATCACTTTCTATAAAATTCATTATATTTTTTATAAATGCATTTTATTTTTAAAAAGTGCACATTTTGGGCATTTTTTTTGAAACGTCTCTCTCTCTCTCTTCCCTGCCGCGTCGAACACTTACTTCTCCGGCAATCGCCGCCGACCACTATTTTCCACTGGAACCGGTTTGTTTTTCTATTCTCTTATTTATTTCTCTACTTCTTCTGTTAGTTCGTCTCATTTAGTTTTGCTAGCAAAAACACCGAACCTACATTTTTGTTTATATAATAGGGTAAAATGTTGCCCTTTTTCAATTTTTGAAGTGGAGTTTGAAAATTCACTTAAGTTTTTCTATTTTCTGAGTCAGATATAGTAATTTTCTTGATTTCCACCATTCTTGAGTGACCAGAGTCAGTTGTTAAGACTATAACATTTTCTGTTTTTGCGTTGTTTCAAATTGGATTGAGTATTAAGAGTTTGTTTTGCTTGCAATTCCTTAAGATGTGTTTTAGTTGTTTCTTTAAATATTTTTTCTCTTCCCAAATTTTCTTTTTAATTTTGATTTTTTAATCTTGTTTACATTTGTTGTGATGTTTTAAAACTGACTACAATTCTTTTAAATTTGTGTCAATTACTTCTCTTTAAATTTGTTTACATTTGGTTCTGATGTACTCTAACTTGATTTCTAATATAATTAAATATTGTTGTATTTTTATAGAATTGTATTAATATGCCTGATTCAATTTTGGTCAAAATTGACCTTTAATAAGTGAAAAGGGATTAACAAATTGGGATGGAAGAAGTAATTTATTAGTGTTTTCCAAGACAATAATAAGCATGTATGCATGTTCGGTCGAACCCAATAACTTTTGTTGTATTTGTAAAATTAAATTTAGAACCCAGCTATTAGCACTTTTGTCTTCGTTCTGAAATTTAGAACCCATAAAGTTGAGATTGTGTCTCCGCCTCTGCTTGCTGCGTGAACTTAAAATTGATAATAATATATTGAACTCTCTCCTTGCCTATTTTTTCAATTTTTTACAATGTTTTGACTGTTTTCTTTCCTTTTCTTCTCTCTTTTTTCTCTCTCGTTATTTTACATTTCTAAACATTTTTTTTAATTATAGTAACTGTCCATGTATTTACTCTTTGTGATATTAAAACTGACCCAGTGGTCATTTCTGGATGCTAGGTGCAAATCTAACATAACTTAGAAGATCAATAATTGGCTAAACTATCATTTTCTAAGATCAGCTTTTCTTAGGTATCCTGAAGAAATACTTAGGGGTCGTTTGGTATGAGGTATAAGAAGGTATAAGAGTGGTATAAAAATTTAATACCACCTTAATACTCTGTTTGGTTAGCAAACCAGGTATAAGTACTGGGATAATTTATACCTTATAAAAGGTGGGGCAATTAACACCAGTATAACTTATACCTCCTCTTAGAAATTATGCAATTGTCATTCTTAATACAACATACCAAATAATGAATAAACAACAATCCCATCATAACTAATCCCAGCATAACTTATCCCAATATAACTTATACCGGCATAACTTATACCAGTATAAATCGTATTCCAACCAAACGACCCCTTAGTGTGCAGGTACTTTTGATATTTTTTTTTTGAGAATGTTTGGTAAATATGTTGCAGCTTGCAGAACTGGATATTTCAAAATATTGTCAAATTTGAGACATTGTGACAAAATTTAAGCTGGTCTTTGGATTTTCTATCACGTGAGAAAAGGATGTGGAAGAGAGTTTGGAATGCATCGAGTATTTTCTATCACACGAGAATAGGACATAAAATAGAGTGTGGAATACGTTGAGGACAATACTGCATGCTTCATTAATATACTACCTACTTGAAGAAACACTTCAACTCCCGAATCTATATGTGTTTTTTTCTTTTTGGCTAAAGTATGAAGTCCTTAATCTTTTTATCCAGTTCATGAGTGTTGCTGATAACCTCATAATCTTTTATCCATTTGATTAAGTCCACCTTGCTTCAGGTCTGCAGTAATCCAAACTGCAAATACATTACACAGTTATCTTAATGTCATTTAAGGCTACTCATGGTTCTGAGAAATAGTTTTTTTGTGGATTTGTGCAATAAAAGCTAATAGTTCAAATCCTAGGAAAACTCAATCATACTAGCTACCATAAATTGGAAACACGCATTGCAAAGAGCATGATTACCACCAATCTGTAATAGTATATGCTTTGGTTTGTGAGCTTGGATTTTGTCCATACTTTCAGTAATAGATTTTTGATATAGCGTTTTCTACACTTTATATTGGCTTCCTTGCTTCCTAACTGATTCATTTATTTTTGCCCTTATAGGCTATAGCAACTGATTTTTGCTACTACTGAATGATTGAACCCATGCCAGCTATGAAGAAGGTCGAGATTCTTTTTTCTTCTATCTTATTTCTTTATTCAGCATAACATTTACGTCAAATTTTCTTGCAAAAGAGTTACCCCACGTAAATGGGGTCTGCAGGTTATTTTGACCTATTTCCGCATGTTTAGTCATGACCCTGTATTTCCTTTCCTATTTATTGGAAAGATGTAGGTACTAATGGCTTCCTTAATTGATTAGAAAGGGGGAAATCAGCACTTTACTGCAAATAAATTCTCTTCTAATATATCTAAAGCAAAGTAAAGAGGCCATCCAAGTAAATTTTCCTCACATAAAAGGGGGTTAGCACTTTGCGGGTTCTAAGTTTAAGCTACATAGCAGCGCGCCAACACCTTTGTATATGTGAAATGGAATAGTCCTTTTTACTATATAAAACTACTGCTTCGGTTTTAAATGGGATAATCCTTTTAAGCTTATTCCTTTGATTAGGATCCTTTCTAAAGTAATATATCAGACCGTTATATATTCTTGCATCTGACACAGCATAGACTCTTTCATCTTGCTGTCTGCTGTCCTTGTCTGCACAGGTCATTTGCTGTTGGACACAAATGTTGTCCCTAATAATTTTTTGATAGAATTTCTTTTTAAGATTTTTTTTGTTCAACTATTCTTTTAGTGGCACAGCCTAACTAGAAGTATCCACTGTATAGTTGCTGTTTTCGTTTTTCTTTTGCCTGGATTATTCCTTTACTTGAAAAATTAGTATTTTGTAGTTTAGCAAGGATAAAAGCAGAGTAGCGTAATGGAAAAAAACGTGTCAGCTAAAAAGCCTATGAGAATTCTGATATGTTATTCTTATATGATTGTTACGGAGCTTCTCTTATGAAGTATGTGGTGTGTGTGTGTGTGTGTGTGTGTTTATGTTTGCTATATCAGCATCTTGTTAATATGCAATTTATTTTCCTTTCTGCACAGAGTGCTGTCCATGGTGGGATTGGGCATGTATTCAACAAATTGACAAGCGAGATTGGAGATCCTGTTGACTTTGAACTTCCAGATTGGTTGAATAAATGGCAACCCACACCCTTTACCTATATAAAGCGTAGTATCCTTCAATAGAATTAATTATGATAGATCTATTTGATGCACTTTAAAAGTTTGATAGTATATTTTCTAATTAAACATCTCTTAATCCTATACACTGATTGATAAGATAATTGCCTTGGTCTTCTGTTTGAAATGCATTGTTTCTTATCTTTGTATAGCTTCCTTCAACATTTCTCTGCTTTTAGTTGTGTCAGTATTAACTATTTGTAAGATATATACCTCACCAAGAAGGTTAAGCGGCGGCTGGAAGATGATGGCATATTTTGTTCCTGCAGTTCAACAGCAGGATCTTCGGACGTGTGCGGCAGGGATTGTCTGTGTAGGTAAGGATGACTCAAATTAAAATTCATTTAGCAGTCCGAACTTTGATAGACTTAAATATATTTTTTGGAAATTACATCCCCATGACCTGCATAAATTTGTTGATTGGGAGTTCTTACATGGTTCTAGCTGACAATTTTCTGCACTGCATGCATTCCTCTTCCTTTCTAGATAAAGTTAATAGACTCTATATAGAAGTACTCGTGGCCTAATATGCCAGTAACACGTTCTGCTGATATTCTTGCAATGGATTTGATATGTCTGCACTTTTTGTTTGTAATTTCTACAGCACCAAAAATATTATAAAAAAAGAAAAGGAAAAGGGTGGTAGTTCACTAGGTTGTTTGGTTCCATCCATGGCGGTAATCTAGCTTTGACATTTTTACTTATAAATTCTGAGAAAGAAGTTTCATTGGTTAAGTGGAGCCCAATAATTAGACACAAGGAAGATGGAAGCTTTAGAGTTAGGAAATCAGAAGTTCATAACTAAAGTTTGCTGCAGAAATGGCAAGGTAGCACCTTGGAAATCTGTCATTGAGATCAAATATGGAAGAGAGGGGTTTGGGCTCCTAAGGCAGTGAAAACACCCTATGGAGTTGCTGTTTGGAAACAGATAGTCAGTTTCTGGGAGATTTCAGCAAGATGTTAGCATTATAGATGGAAATGGGCAAAGTGTTAGGATGTGGAAAGACAATTGCGATGGTATTGGACTGCTAAAAGAGCAATTTCCTTGCCTTCACAGTGTGGTGAATAATACTAATGTATTTAAGGGAAAAGGGTCAAATATACCCCTCTACTTTCGAATATTGTCTACATTTAACCTCCGTTATACTATCCGGCCAAATTTACCCCTACCGTCATACTATGTGGCCAAATTTATCCCTATTATCAGCAAACATTTAAAAATTAGGGAAAAAAACGTAAATAGCCGGCCCACTATCTTTTACAACTTTTCCTAGCCATAAAGTTTTATTAAAAATAACCCTAAAATAGTGTAGCCATATAGCTTCAGATAAAAATCCCTGAATAGCAAATTTCTTCACAATTTAGAGAAACCCTAACAATGGAGTTTTTTACAAACAAAAATAAAATCTCTACACAAATCACAATAATGTCAGTCTAAACCCATTATTTCTTTCATATATATNAGTATACAGTGTATGTTTGATGCATAATCATTGTAAATCTATGTATAATTAACATATATACATTACACACCGACTATATACTGAGTTCTACAATAATTATACATCGAACATCAACGAACACCTCCATATCTTTCCTTTCTTCTTCCATTAAAATCAACAAGACCACACCATTTTCATTCCCCTGAATCATAATTCCCCAGTAAAGTATTTTCTTCTCACTTAGCCCGTCCGCCCATAACAGTGCGCCTTACCTTTTTCGGACCCTGTTAATATCATAACCAATTTATAGAAATAGAAATCTTCACTTCAACGAGAAGAGAAGCTTAACTTTAATCGGTGAGATTGAGCGAGAACAAAGGGAATGCAGGGAGAGAGAAATCGAAATTATTTACTTTGTATAATATCAGATGGGTATCGTATCCCTTATAATCCCTAAAATTAAGTGATTTCAAATCACAATTCCTACATTTAGGATTAGCTTAACTGGCTAAAAACAGTAAAAAAGATATGCACAGTGTTTAAAATGAGTTATAAAAATAAAATAGGTTTATTTAAAGTTTATAACTAATATGGGCTGCTAGTCCAGTTAATTGTTCTAAAAATTACCCCTCTTCTTTCGAATATTATCTACATTTAACCTTCGTTATACTATCCGGTCAAATTTACCCCTACCGTTATACTATCAGTCCAAATTTACCCCTATAATCAGCAAACATTTAAAAATTACTCGGTGATCTGTTAAGTAATCCAAAATCTCCCAAATTCCTTTTATTTAGATCACCTATTGTTCTTCTCGCTCCATTATTTTCAGAAATTACTATTGATGTGAATGCTAAAGTTACTAGACTATACAAATTATTCATAATTTTTTTAAATTACCAATGCACCTACTTCTCTTCTTGTAATATTGGGTTTGGAATTGGTTTAAAATTTTATTTGTTTTTCAATCATATACATACCGTAGAATTCAGTGGGTCTATTTATTGTGTATTATATGCAGCTGACCATCATGTATGTACATGTATGTTCAAATATATTCTGTCATTGCCTGGTTAGTATAGAGTTCGATCAATTACTGAAGAGTGCAACAATGTGTATTGATTAAAGCAAAGTTGAATTAGACAATGTAAAGTCTCTGAGGAACTTCAACTTCAATCACTAATACTTGCAAAGTCTCCATACATTTGGTGAAACGAATTCATTAAAACTGGGATGTTGTAAATACTTTTAGAATTTAGAAAAGTTACCTAATTTAGATTTTTCAATTTACTATACTTTGTTTATTAACAATTGTATTATTTAATTTTTTTTCTCCAATTCAGAAAGTACGTAAATGCCAATTATTTCGAAAATAGTGGACCAAGAAGAAGAATCAGTAACTTAATTAAAATGATTTGGGAGATTCTGGGTCACCTGACGGACTGAGGGGTAATTTTTTTAAAGTTTGCTGAGTGTAGGGGTAAATGTGGCCCGATATTATGGTAGGGTAAATTTGGCCCGATAGTATAACAGAGGTTAAATGTAGACAATATCTTAAAGTGGAGGGGTATATTTGGCCCTTTTCCCATGTATTAATGGCTGATGTCTTTAGTGAAGATGGCTGGAATTCTCAGAATTCCAGTTCAGGAGGATTTTCTTTGACCGGGAAATGCATGAAGGGGACCTTTTTCTTGCAAAAGATGCATTCTGTGAAGATAAATCAGGGGATGGTAGATGTATTGTGCTGGAATTCTAAATAGAAAGGAGTTTTCACCATCAATTCTTATTATAGAGAACTCATTTAACAAGACACTGAACTGGGATCTATGTGGCCTTGGAAGCTGATTTAGAAGACTTTGCACCAATCAAAGTGGCTTGTTTTGGTTGGTTGGTGATCCATGAAGCATGCTTGACACAGGAGAATTTGCGGAAAAGAGGCTTTAAGCTTTATAGTAGATGTTATCTATGTGAAAACTCTTGTGAATTTGTTGATCATCTCTTTATGGACTGCAATTACACCTGGCAGATTTGGACCATTTTCATGGAAATTTATGGTGTGCAATGTACTATTCTTGGAAATCTCAGAAGTCTGTTAGGATGCCGGAAGTCAATTTATGCAGGTAAATTTCAGAAGAAGATCTGGTTGACCATTCCATTATGCATAGCATGGACCATCTGGACTGAGAGGAATAGGAGATGTTCTGAGGGCAATAAGGAGCAACTTCAAGTAGTGAAATATAGATGTATTCTTAATATGTATTACTGGAAGAGTGAAATTTTATTTTTACATTTCCAGGATATGCTCGACTTGTTAGATTTTATAGGGATTTAATGTGTCAAGTCTAGCTCTTTGTATTTTGCCTCAGTATCTTCTTGATACTGCTTTTGAATAAAATCTTACCTTATCAGAAAAAAAAGTAGTCTTATATATTCTTAGCAATTATTAGTTTGATGGTGAGATGTATTTGATCTTTGGTGGATGTATGAGAGGGTTAGATGAATTTACTTAACATTTTTCTGATAACCAAGAAACCGCTGAGGACCACTGGTGCATGGTTCAAAACTCAGTTGATAATGGGCCCGCCGCTATACCCTTCTCCACTTAAATGCTAGGCTTTTGTCTGCAGCAAAGTTCGACCCCTTGACATGTGCTTAATCCACGCACCAGGTGCTGCAATCTTACCACTACACCAAAGCTCTTTACTCATTTTTTATCGGTGAATAATTGATGGAATGACTAGTGGTATTAGTTTCATTGTAGGAGAAGGTAGTCACTGCACTAAGGAGCTGTTTGGTAATTGAATGGGATATGCCTTCTCTCTGGATAGGATGGTATGAGGAGATTATGGGTTGGATTATATGTCATGTCACATGTTTGGCGTGTCCTGATTAATGACCAGATATCTCATCATTGTCCAATGGAGTTTTTGACTTGCAATGAGATGACCTTTTATTGCTGCTTCCCAAGTAGGCCCTTGACATCATCTTTTGCTTTTTGTTATTTAAATATTTTTTAAAAACTCTAGAAGTTATAACTTAGTCCAACTTAATTTTTTCATGCCACAGAATCATCATCCATCAATCTGACAAAAAACAAACTAAAATTGCGTAAGAAAGAAGAAAAAAAAAGCTTGTCCCAGAGAAGATAAAGAGAAGAAAGGCGATAAATATTTAATTCGCATGGAAGGATGAATAAGCAAGGGGAAGGGAAAATAGAGAAGAAGAAGTTGAGTGTGGGTTGAGTCTTAATACGTGAGGGAAGGAGGGACTGAAGGGGATACGAGAGGGCTCGCATGGGGTGGGGGTTGGTTAATCCGCAAGTGTGGTGCTTGTAGGATGGGGTTTCTAAATGGGTAGGGAGGCAGCTCTGACTATGTTGTAAGAGTGAGAATAGCAAGGTTCCTGGCATAAGGGTTAAGGTGGGAGGAAAGCTGGACTTTGATGAAAGGGGATGTGGCAGGAAGCCTAGGCTTGATTGGGCGTGAAAAAAAGGAAGAGATGAATGTTACCTTCTCAAAATAAAAAAAGTAGAAGAGATGAAATAAGAAGATGGTGCCTTAATATGTTATATATCATAATAGGTGCTTATCCAGCGAAAAGTTATAGTTACCCCCTCCTGTAAATAAAGTGGTGAGACTTCTTTGGATGATTTATCCAGAATCATCCAATCCAGGGTTTACATAATTTGGGATTATGTTGGATAACTTTTTTGCAAACCTTTATCCTATGAAGTAGCACCTGAGGTGCAAAAAAAATACTACTTTCAGCATCTTGACATTTAAACCATCTGTGAAGTCGTGGGTTGTTAGTTATTTCACTTTGCTTTTTCTTGCAGCATTTTATGGTCTAGCTGCTCCTCAGGGTGTAAATGTGGGAGTGCTTGTCTGAACAAACCATTCCATCAACGTCCTGTGAAGAAGATGAAAATAGTTATGGTATGCACATAAACTTTGAACACTGAGATATTTGGACATATGTTAGTTATTGCATGCATTTTGACAGCATTGAGTCATCATTTATATCATTTGTGACCTTGTCTTTATTAGTCTTTTTGTTACCAGGAGCGTAGACAATTCCTTTCCCATATAGAGCATTTTCATTTTTCAGACAATTGACAACCAAAGAAGCTTAGAACCTGATGTTTCTTATTTTTCCACTTTTAAGAGGTTGTACATACTTTGACTGAGTAGTTATGATTGGTATCTTAGTGCTTTGGTCATAACATAGGTTTTTGAATTTTCCTTTCATGTTCATCTTTTCTTTTAGGTTCTCTTTTGTTTGTCGTTTTTTAAAAAAAGGACCAGGGTTTACAAGCCGACTGAAGTAAGTCAAGCTCATTATATAATGATGGATTCATAAAAAGTAATCAATCAATAAATGATACAGTAAAAATAATAATCAATTAGTACCTAAACAAACATAAAATTTGCCAAATGGTACCAACTTCCAAATGCCTCAAAAAATGCTGGGTGGTACCATTTGCCATATCTATTTTTGCATTTCATTTTCTCACATATCTGGTGTAGAAATAAATTATTGTTGCTTATTTTGTATTCTTCCAACTTTTCGTTCTTCTGAAAACCAACCAATAATCATCTATGATAGTCAAGCTTTGTTGACACGTAAAATGCAGACTGAGAAATGTGGCAGTGGGATTGAGGCAGGTGAAGATATCAAGAGAAAAGATTTTGTTATAGAATATGTTGGAGAAGGTGAAGTTTTTTCAGTTTCTTGCTTAATATGAAGAGTATTTCATGTTTTGCACATTCTGAGCTGTTACAACTGCAGTTATTGATGACAAAACATGTGAAGAGAGACTTTGGAAAATGAAGCATAGTGGGGAAACAAACTTTTACTTGTGTGAGATCAATCGGGATATGGTGATTGATGCCACTTACAAGGGCAACAAATCCAGATACATTAATCATAGCTGTTGTCCAAATACTGAGATGCAGAAATGGTATATAAACGGCTTAATATTTACTATTCATTTGGAGCTCTCTCAAACCTTCTTCTCAGGGATACCAGCCTATTGTGGGAATTATTTGTTTTCGTACTGAATCATATTTTCAGGTTGATGGATGGTGAGACAAGAATTGGCATATTTGCGACACGTGACATTAAAAAGGGCGAGCATCTGACCTACGATTATCAGTATGGACATTGAATTTTTATTTTGATTGTTTTCTGCCATCCTAGCATTTTCGGTCAGCAGTGTGTTATCTCCGAGTGTGCATTTGCCNTGGTCAGCAGTCTGTTATCTCCGAGTGTGCATTTGCCCTTGCTCAGTCTAACAAGTGTAGCAGGTTCGTTCAATTTGGTGCAGATCAAGATTGCCACTGTGGTGCTGTAAAATGTAGGCGAAAGCTGGGAATTAAACCTAAAAAACGAAAACTTTCCTCTTCAGATGCTGCATTAAAGTTAGTGGCATGTCAAGTTGCTGCGTCCTCTCCCAAAGTGAAAGCATTGCTATCTCTAAAACATGTGTGTATCTCTACTCTGTCTATGATCTGAGATATAAGAGCAGTGTGTGTGTCGGGTCGATTCATTCTTTTCGCTTGGACGTTTATTTACTAGATTTATGACCAAATTCGTTAGTGCTTGTCCATAATTGTCCTGGTGGTTTGCGAAAATGAAATTGATAGCAAATTATGACCTTCAGTTTTATCGAGCCATACATATTTCTGCTCCTTTCTGAATTTTGTTAGAGGGAGTCGTAAAGAGGACAAGATGCTTGATATTACTGTCTAAAAGTAGTTCCCTTCATTCCTTTTCCCAATTGGGCAGGGCTACCCTGTGGAAGAACCATGCTGCTTTTCCCTGGAAAGAAGTTGGAAGATCACGTTTCCATGCGAAATGACATGATCTATCTATATGATATTTCTTGCATTTGTTGGAAACTTAATACAGTAAAGAAGATGATTTGTATAAGATAGCAAAGGTCTGAGGTTTTCTGCTTTCATTATTTGGCTGTGACCTGTATTTATATGTTTGCAGAAAAACATAAAACAATCTCAAACCCTTAGTGGACTAGAGGTTTAAATGATGATCATAAACTACTTTGTTGTAGTTGAAATATGAAGAAAGGGACACCCAAGGGTGTAGCCTAGTAGTCAATGAAGTCGGTTGAGAACCATGAGGTTTCATGTTCAAATTCCAACGGAGACAAAAAAACATTAGGTGATTTCTTATGTTCAAGCCGTGGTGGACAGAGTTACCTGCTATATGTTGTTGGTGGGAGGTAGTAGGTATCTCGTGGAATTAGTCAAAGTGCGCACAAGCTGACCCGGTCACCACGGTTATCAAAGAAGAATATATAAAGAAAGGGAACACAAGGATATGAGGGCGAAACAGACTTCTTCTTAAGTAAAAGTGCGAGGGCTTCATGATGGTACATGAAGTGTGTTATGACAGAGGCGGACCCACGTTGATTATAGAGGGGTCACCGGAACCCGTTAGCCTCGACAAAAACACTGCTATATATATATACTGAGGATCCCTTATTAGTTGGCCCCTTATTTACAAAAACTTGGACGGGAGCGTTGATCGAGAAGCCTGCTCAAGTGCCTTTCCTTGATTGGCGTGTTGGGTTGAAACCCATTCATGCAACTGTTCTTTTTTGTTTCTTCTTTTGAATTCAAAGATAGTTTACTCTAGCAAAAACTGAATATGGCAAATGGCACTTCCTTAATTCCTGAGTCATTTCCTTATTTTTACTAATTTTCACCTTTTCCCTTACTTTGTTTCTTACCGTTCTTACCGGTAGTGTCCTTAGCTATCATTTTTCATTCTTCTTTTGCTCCTTTTTTCTTTTCCTTTAATTTTTTTCTATCTTATTAATTTCTAATCCATTTACATTATTTTTCAGGANCAGACTCTCTCTTAGGGATTTTTATATTTAAGTTTACTTATCTTGTTTTTTATATGTATTATCGTTAGAATGGATGTGATTCTCTATAATTTATAAAATGCTGGTAAAACATACAATTCTAAAAATATTTGTTTAAATCAAAGCTAAATCTATTTAATTAATTGGATGATCGATTTGTATATATAAGTTGAATAAATATAACTAAGTTAATATATATATATATATATATATATATATATATTCAGTCGGGAAGTGCGCTAAATTAACGCAGAACCGAACAACCAATCAAATCATTATGGCGAGAGCCATCAATATCGATTAAGATCGGGTGCACCCGCCGTCTATAAATCCTGGGTCCGCCTATCGTTATGAGTTAATAACCTGTTAGGATTCTTGTAAGATGAAGATAGCTGGAAAATCATGCATGATGGACGACTGACTTAGTGTTTGTGTTTGGCAGAGGCTAGTGTCATGTTAATCCCAGATCTATGAGCCTATTAAGTGTGTTAGATGCCTGTCTTGGATAATAAAAGGATATCATTCTTAGGTGGGTCAAAATATTTCTTCACCAATTATATGTGCAAAGAGGAAAAGCAGAGAAAACAGTAGGATGCCACAGAGAATATCTCCCAGCTTAAGTTATGCTTATTAAAAAGGAAGTTTTGTTATCTCGTTTGCGCTTCCTTTAAAGACCAAGTTATGGGTACCTATATTTTGTTAATTATGTCTGACTATTTCCTTCATATTTCTCCCATTTTACTGCCTTTGGTTTGGTTCCATTGAGGATACAGGCCAAACAGTTGCATACACTTTGTTTCTCGAAGAAGCGGTTTCAAATGCTATTCTAGTATCTTTCAGATTCCTATAATACATTATCTGTTTCCCCCGATATTGGACTTATTAACCTTTTATTTACTTTTATACCAGGGTTGTCAAACTGGAGTTCCTCCAAAGGTAGGTTAAGTAGTCCTTTGACTTCCATGATATCTGTGTTAGGAAAGTTAGTGTCTCTT